GCCTCTTGTCACTGCCGCCCTTTTGTCCACTTCAGCAATTGTTTCTTGCTGTGGTTGTCCCACCTGATGACGGACCCTTGTGTTGCGCCCGAAACGTCGTGATTTTATTTTAATTTTCTTACCTACGTGACTTTACCGAAAGAACCAAAGAACATGTCATTTACCTTTCGATTTAAAGCTTTCGTGACTGCAGGGATTCATCTTCTTGTTCTTTCGGTAAAGTCACGTAAAAGGGAAATAATAAAAGAATTTTAAAAAACATTATGAAATAATTATCACGACGTTTCGGCCACAACGCAAGCAGCCGTCCTCAGGTGAAGAACAGGTCTGTCGGAAAGACATGTTCTTTGGTTCTTTTGGTAAAGTCACGTAGGTAAGAAAATTCAAATTAAATCACGACGTTTCGGACGCTGTCTTTCCGACAGACCTGTTCTTCACCTGAGGACGGCTGCTTGCGTTGTGGCCGAAACGTCGTGGGAATTGTATTTTTTATGTTTTATTTTTATTACTTTATTATTTCCCTTCTACGTGACTTTACCGAAAGAACCAAAGAAGATGTCATCTACCTGTTCAGGTCGCTTCAATGAGTCGGGATGTCTTAGCGTCGCTCCGAACACGGAATTCGCGAAGCTGCCAGCAAGGCAAGAGGCGGTGCATTGCCACCCGAGCCTCTCCATCTTAAGGGATGTCCGTGTAGTTCACTTGGGTGCTGACGGAGATCTTTATTGGGGAATCTTATTTTCGCGGCGCGAGTTTGTGCCAGTTTATTTTTAACAGCTGGACTCGCTTCCTGAATGATGTACGTTAAATATAGGTTTACATAGCAGAACAAACCGGGGATCCGTATGTACACATTAACTCGTCTTACTTTCTGTTTATATCCAGAAGATGTCCATAACTCTCCCAACAACCCCAACGGTTACAGACGGTGTCATTTCACCTCGACGCGTGACTCAGTGGGCCCAACCGTACGGCTACACTACAACAACACGCACCAGACAAATACAAAACAACAACGCGTACCAGCTACA